GTGAAACGTGAGGAGTTGTTCATCACCTCCAAGCTCTGGTATATATTTTGATTGTCTAATGTATATTTTTGTGAATAAGTGTAGCTTTAGCCATCTTGCATTTATAAATTGTGTAAATGTCATAGGTGTACTGATCATGACCCTCAAGATGTCCCGGAGGCCTTGAACAGAACTCTACAGAATCTACAGCTTGACTACGTCGATCTTTATCTTGTAAGCATCATTTGCTTGTTACAGTTACACAGTTTTTGTTGAACACGTTAATTTGCAAACCTGTTTATATACTAGACCGAACTCTACATAGCATTATGGGGAAATATTATTGCATAACATTTTGTTTGTGATTATTGTTGAAGATCCACTGGCCTGTTCGGATGAAGAAAGGTTCCGTTGGAGGTTATAAGACCGAGGATCTTTTGCCTGTAGATATTCCTAGCACATGGAAAGCGATGGAAGCACTCTATGATTCGGGCAAGGCAAAAGCCATAGGTGTAAGCAATTTCTCCACCAAGAAATTAGCTGATCTCTTGGAGTTAGCTCGTGTTCCTCCTGCTGTTAACCAAGTCGAATGTCATCCTTCTTGGAGACAGACTAAGCTACGAGAGTTTTGCAAATCCAAAGGTGTTCACCTAAGTGTAAGCATTACTACCCATCTCAACATTTCATTTAAATTTCTACCTTATACATTGATTGAATGGATATATGTTTGTGCAGGGATACTCTCCGTTGGGTTCTCCAACGTGGCTCAAGAGCGATGTTCTGAAGAACCCGATACTGAATATGGTCGCAGAAAAGCTCGGGAAGTCTCCTGCTCAAGTCGCGCTTCGCTGGGGACTCCAAATGGGGCACAGTGTGCTTCCCAAGAGTACCAATGAAGGAAGAATGAGAGAGAATTTTGATGTTTTCGACTGGTCAATACCTGATGACTTGTTCGTTAAGTTTTCTGAGATTGAACAGGTACGTTTCTTAACCTTTCATGCAATGACTTAGTTGCTATGCTATTTCTCGGCTTGAACTCCAACTAAAAGTTATATTTTTTTTGGATTAAATGCAGGCAAGGTTAGTGACTGGTTCCTTCTTTGTTCATGAGACACTGAGCTCTTATAAGTCTATTGAAGAATTATGGGATGGCGAGATATGATTTTTACCACATCTGTTTGATATGTTATGTTTTCTCTGATGGACTTGTCCATTTCTTATGGATGTTATCCACTGATATATCAAATTTGTTTCTATTGAATAATTTTTATTGAAAAGAATCTTACTCTACATTTTGTAATGTATTGTAGTTATCTCAAGAAACCGGAAATATGATGTTTTCATATATGGTTGTAAACATACCAATAAAACTCATGCATTCACATTTAGAGCTAAAGAAAAGACGAAACTATTATTCAATCTCAGAATAAAATTTGTAATCAAAATAATAAGGATTCAGTCGGAATTGATCAATGTGTCAATATGTTGTAGCTTTGACATGGCCTATCCTAAATATAAGAAATTTTCATAACTAGTAATTTATTTTTCTTAAAAAAGAAATTATAGAATCCGCGGCTTATATCTTTGAATGTTTTCGGACCAAAATGTGTCACGACGTTCAGAGAAGAGAGAACATCAAAAGAGTTTATCTAAATGAACGAATAAGATACGTTCGAACGTCCACCACGTAATGCTTTAATATCTGACCGTGACACCGTGACAATAATTTTTAGGTCTAAAGAAACGAAAAAAATACAACTTCGTTACGAATCAAGAGTCTCCCGCCGCTATCGCTCTCAGTCTGTCACACTAGTTTCACACTGTTATCCTCTCCTCCTCCATCATCACTCTTATCTGTCTAAGTATAAAGATGGATTAATTGACTCGGTTTGTTGAACTTGAAAACCAATAGGTTTTACACGTACGGTCTTGACCAGATTCAAACATGTGAAAAGAGGAATGCGTGCACGTAAGCTCATTGTATTTTTGGACTAGTCTACTTCCAAAATTGGGTTGGATTTATACAAACTTGGAGAAAATAGAATAATAATCGATATGTACGCATGAGACTAATTTATCCATTACTCAGGTTGGTAAAAGGGAAAACTATTATTCCTTTTTGGCAGTGCAGTAAAGATATGTTGGGTTTTATTTTTTTATTTTTTTGGCTTTCACAGTTGTTTTAATGTATGCTATAATTTAAGCATTAGTTGATAGCCGGTCCAAACCACAAGTTGGTGAAGCATGAGCTTGCGGTCCCGTTGTGCTATTAATATTTTGGTTCCCTTTAACTACATCTTTCTTATAGCTTAATGGGTTAAGTGGCACGTAAAGCTATAGAAGGTGGGGGGTTCGATTCTCCGTACGTACATAATGGTTAATTAATAAGAAAGTTTTGTTTTTTATTTCTTTTTTAGCTTGTCGCCCATAAATTATCACCGATGACAGCAAAAAATCGACAACTCATTGTTAGTTGTTGAGAATTTATATATACATATATAGTATATTTCGATTTCTTGCATTTCTCAGGGTAAATAAAATGTGAATGTAGTAGCCGTTACAGAAATATTTTTTTTTGTTTTGAAATACAACTTAACTTTTTTTAAGCTGGTCATTAATTGTTTTTTTAAATACCTAAAATACTTTTTGTGCACAATAATATTTATATAGTTTAGTTACCAAAAAAAAATATGGATATAGCTTAGTCAACTTTATTTTCTTGAAAATTGATATATTTTTGGTTGACACATATATATACGGATTCATTAATCATCAAGTACCACAATTTCCACCTGGTCCTCCAAGAGAGAATGTTATTCTGCTGGCCTTGAGATATCCCCAATACGTTAGTTTATAACACTGATAGGAATCTATGTATGGTCTTATTTTCTTATCTTCGAGATCAATATTTTGGTAGTTCAAATTCTTAACCCTGATAAATGAAAAATGTGAACTCTTCTGAAAGTCGTTAGTTGGGAAATGACCATTTCCCATCGGAGGACTAATTCCATTAGGTGATGTAAACGTATTTCCTCCGAAACGTATCAAAGAAGCTCCATTGTTTAAATGGGTAAATAACTCTTTTGGCCAGTATCCTACTAACTGATCAAATATTTTTAGTACCCAATTTCCGGTGAAGCCATCCTATTTGACATTAAAACATAAAAACAAACCATTAAACAAAAATCTCTGAAATTTATAAATAAATATATATATATATATATATATATATATATAACATAAAAATAAATAGTTTTAGGATTTGAATAAGAAACATAAAAAGAACTATATTCAAAAAAAAAAAAATTAAAGATGGATTCGAGTATTTTGAAGATCTACAAAAAGTTAAATTTAAGATGTTTATAATAATTTAAAATAAGATTCCAACATTCTTGTCAAAAAAAACTGATTTATTATACATACAATGGAGAAATTTACCTGATAAATTTGTGGTTTAAAAATAACACTTGTTCTACCACCATAAACAGAGGTCTTCTCGAACACTATTCCGAGATAAGGTTCACGAGTAACAAGAACAAAGCCCGGACATTTTGTATTATAGCATCCAGTTTTTTTAGAGCTATCTGCCTAAGATATTGAAATGTAAAATAGAAGGTAAACAATTACACAAGAAAAGGGTAAAATCAAACCAATGCTATGACTTTAATTATTATATTATAATCACAATATATATTTTTTTTTCATGTATAAGGAAATATTGTTAAGAAAATTATTAATGTACTCACAGTCCAATATATTGTAAACCGCGTTAAACTGTCACCATATAATCTTGGATGCACCTGTACAAAATTCAAAATTCATGAAAATATTGGTTAAAAATGTATACTCAAACTCTGCTTCTCCAGTATCTCATGAGATTACCATAAGTGAGTTGTTTTTTGTATTTGTGGATAATTATGCCACATGTAAAGGGATTTTTTACTTATTACATGCTCATAAATATAATTGAAAATAGTTATATACACTTTTATTACATATATCTATATTGTAATTTTAATTCCTTGTGTAAACTCGCATGAATTTGTATGAAGTACACATTTTTTTATATGTTTAATATAAACTTACCGCCCAACCAACTTGTATGCTATTGAGTTGATCGCGAGGTCCATTCTCTAACCAGATTTGATTTTTACTGTACTGGTTATTTTGTACAGTTAAATTATGAATACTTATAGTAGCTGAAGCTCCTCGATAGATGGTCCCATCTAAAACGGTCTCAATTGTTGCAAACTGTATAAACCAAAGAATTTGCCACTTTAAATAATGTTTGCATGTATTATAATCATAACACTAGAAAAAGGGAAAACTGTTATTGCCTATAATCAATTTTTTGTGATAAATAAGAGAAAATAATATACAGAATATTTCAATAAAACCATGATAAGAGAAGAAGATTTACATGTTGGCCAGGATATTCGACCGTGTCGAGATGAACGTTCTGAGATCCATTTATTTGCCTTAAAATAGGTACCATTCCTTTTGGACAACTTTGATAATATATTTTATATTTATCTTTGCTTTCATGGCTTTCATTTGAAATCAAATTTTCCTATAACATAAGACAGTAACAAGATTAAGAAGAAAAATGTTGTTAGTAAGAAAAAGAAAAAAACTTCAAACAATTATAATTAAAAACATTATTTGCCATATTTCATATATGATTGAAAAAGTTTAACCATCAAACCTGAATTTTATGGTGTTTCAACATTGGATGTTGGAAAGCCGGTTGTTTGTATATATCCACACAATCAAAATGCTGAAAAGTCGATTAAAACATATTTTTCATAAACTAAACAATATCAAAAAATAGACAAAAAAAAATATTAGAAGTTATAGAATCTCACATCCGTAATTCCATTGGCTCCTAAAGTTAAAAGCATATAGGAAGAAATAACGAACGCCACGAGATGTAAACCCATTTTTTAAATTTTACTTGTATTTCACATGGTTAATGTATCGTTACTTATAAACTAATCTGAGTCAACGACTAATAAATTTATTGCTATACATATCACTTGACCTGCTAGTCTTGACCTTTATGTTGTTTTCAAAAACACAATTGATTTGAGTCAACAACCAATAAATTTGTTGCCAGTCATATACTGTATAAGATATACCTACCAAAACTTCACGAAAATGAAACGGCTGTTACACTAATTTGAGTCAACAACTAATATTGCTTTTTATATTAGTTTACCTTTTTCTATAAACCTTCCAAAAGTCTCAGATACGAAAGTCTAGTTTGTTAAACGATTGATACAGAGAACCTATCTTTGATTGTTTTCGGACCAAAATGTGTCACGACGTTCAGAGAAGAGTGAACATCAAAAGAGTTTTATCTAAATGAACGAATAAGATACGTTCGAACGTCCACGTAATGCTTTAATTTCTGACCGTGACAATAATTTTAGGTTTAAAGAAACGACAAAAAAAAAAAAAAAAAAAAAAAAAAAAAAAAAAAAAAACAATTTCGTTACGACTCAGGAGTCTCCCGCCGCTGTCGCTCTCACACTTGTCACTGAGTGAGAGTGGGACGTTACGAAACGCTGAGTGCGTTAAATACAACAACACATGTACAATTACATCTGATAATGGCGAACGAGGTCGAATGCTTCGAGCTCAACACCGGCGCTAAGATCCCCTCGGTAGGTCTCGGTACATGGCAGGCCTCTCCTGGCCTCGTTGGTGATGCTGTCTCCGCCGCTGTTAAGGTGTGTCTTTACGCATGCAACTCGATTCTTATTTGCTTCCCATCTATTTTTTTATAGATTCTTCAGCTTGGTGATTCCATAACTCTGTTCCAATTAGTTTTCCTCATATTGAAGATGTTTAATCTTAATTCTGATTTGCAGATTGGCTATCGTCATATTGATTGTGCTAAGCTGTATGGCAATGAAAAAGAGGTAGAAACCACACATATATTTTTTTGGTTTAGCCAGGCTGAATAATTCTATCTTTTTTGGATCTTGAATTGATCTTACATTGTTACACAATTTTAGTTTTTAAGTTTCTTGTCTTTGTTGTGTTTATGGCAATATTGTTTATTTATACATTTTTGATTGACAATACTGATGAAAAGAGTCTTTAATATGTGTATTTGGCTTGTCAATGCTCTGCTTTTATTTGTACATTCTCAATCTCTCTTGAATCTTCTTGTTGTTTTCCTCTGTTTTCTCTTTCACAGATTGGGGCAGTTCTGAAAAAATTGTTTGAAGACAATGTAGTGAAACGTGAGGAGTTGTTCATCACCTCCAAGCTC